ACGCCAGTCGTTTTCTCCGATGACTTCGAGCATTCCAGTAGTGGCTGCAGGCCCAGGACTCCTTATGGCGTCCTACCCCATCGCCTCCACCTATGAGATCCTGGTAATCGAAAGATTCCGGCCAACGTCCAAACGGCAGGTTGTACGAATAACTCATCCAGCAGTAGAAAGCAATTAACTTCAAAACAACGAGGTAGGAGAAAAGGCATTTGTGGATAGTTTGCAAACACGCTATATACAGAATTGAATTTCTCATACAAGTGAGTTGTTGTTGTTGCTTTTTTTTATCGAAGTTGAGACAGAGTGAGTATCTATAAGCTCTAATACATGCGTTTACCTGAAGTCCATGAGTTAAAAATGTTTGCCATAATTTATCGATTGCTAGTTAACTTCACAAAAACTGTTCAGATACGTTCAGAATAAGGATAATGATTATGTTGGTTCATGTCCCAAATTACTGTTAATTAGGAATCCCGATCGATGTTTTCGTCTTTCGAAAATAATGGAAATGGAACCAGGCTTCAGAACCTGAACGCATTCCAACATGTGATTAAGAGCAAAACAAAATTTTATGTTAACGGCATCATATCATTCTTAAAGTACTAATCATACGAAGTTCCAATTACATTAAATGACAGAAAACGAAATACTTGCTTTACTTCACAGAAGCTCGTTTTATAAGCCTCGCAGTTTAATGGGAATAACGTGTGTAGTCAGTCACAAGAGCTTCTGTTGTAAGCATGAAAGGGGCGAACCACAATGTTTGAGGATATGTTCGCTCACCAAACAATTCATATCAATGTCACACTTTCGGAAGCTAATTGATCGATACTTCATCACAATGGATTCGATAACTATCATGAAGCTGAGCGGGGGCGAACAATGCGCATTGAAATCATCGCTGAATGGAGAAAAACTCACTCCGAAGCTTTAACGTCGCTCCGAGTCCGCGGGTAGCATTCAAACGATGGTCATACGTTTGTGTCATTGACATAAAGACGCAATGAACATGTTTTCAAACGGCCGCAATGAATGAGCCTAAGTACCCTCGTTCAGGGCGACAATTAAACCACCCACATTCGATCACACGCGCTGTTGTCTACGCGTCGAATCCATCGCAGTCGCCCCCGAATGAGAAAGAATTCCAAAATGCGGTTTACAAGTCTATTATGTACAAGACATCGAGAAACTCTTGGGTGGTTCAAATTCAGAACTGCATTGCTATTACACAACTTTAATTCCACTGAGCTATTAATATTACGGACACGAAGTTCTAAACCTGCTTCTACATACTCGTGAACATCACTCCGGGATTTCACTTGTCAGTTCTGAGTGTTTCGCAGATTTATTACTATTCATTTTGATATACATGGGACAAATTAACCAGATAAATGCATAACTCTGTTGCTAGAACTCAATACATCGTGCCCATTACTGAATCAGTTGCGTAAGTTTAGTGGTCTTTGGCCTCATTCTCTTATCAGAAGAGGTCCAGCTCGGGTAATTAAAGAAAAAAAACAATAAGCGTATCGTTACGTATCAAACACGAGTCTTACTCCTGACGAATGAAGTTGTAGAATTATTTATGTCAATGATGCAAGAAATTATAAATTATAGTGGTTATTATTGGAGCGAAAACTGGTACGACACTTAAGAATAAACTTCAAAATTGTTTTAACTGTTTCCATATCTTTTTATTAGTGGGGAAAATGCTATACTTCACAAACTCCGTATGGTGGATCAAATTGCAATCTCTCTACTATTTACTCAATATTGCAATATCTTTCCTTTTCGTTTCTCACTTTCAGATAGGTCAAGAAGCGAAGACATTGCTTTCACAATCAGGGAAGACAAAAGAAAGAGGTGTCTATTTAATTGCATTACAGCACAAATAAGAATGATCAAGACAAAAGAATCACATATCTGTCGGTTCTTTTCAAAAGCTTTCGCATGAGACTTGGAAATGGATCAGAGGAAGACAAAATGTTCTTCGCCCACTTAATCCTTAAAGAGCTTCCAGTCTTTAAGCTCTCACCAAATGACATTCTCTTGTTGAACTAATCATCTTTAACGACTTAAAACGATGGCGAAAAGAGTGAAAATTATTCTATGAGCGAAAGAATAAAAGATCTATTCCGTATTACATCACAGAACCATTTTCAAAATTTGCGTTCTATCACTTCAATCCGTAATTTACGGCAACAGCAAAAACATTTTGCCATATTCTCGACAGGGCGATTTAGACTCAAACTTGTTCATGTGGAAATAAGTAAGCAACATCAGCATCTTATCATACGTGTATTAAATAAAAACATAAGAAACTGTGCCGGAGTTCAGTGAAGTTCAAGCAATGTTGTTTCGCTTTGTGGTGTGGTGTCCTGTGAAATACTAAATTTATTATTATGACTATTATTATTATTATTATTATTATTATTATTATTATTATTACTATTATTATGTTGTTGTTGTTGTGTAATTACACTATATCCTCTATAGTCTCTTCCACAACACCGCGAACCTTTGAGGAGTCCGCGACTTTTGTATAGGCTGTGCTGCTTCTTTCCTTCCCAAAGATCCCAAGACGTTTATCGAAACCCTCCGAGTACAGGCGTGAAGTGCGTCCTTCTTATGACGACAGTTCGCTCAAAGTGTCTGCGAACCTTCTTTTGTGCTATTCATTGCGGACCCGATTTGTCTCTCTCTGTAATCAGCCGTGAACTGGGGGCTGACATCAGAGGAAGTACGCCACGACAATTTCTTTATTGATTTCTTGAAGTTAACATGACCATGTGCGCATAGATTAAAAATGGCCAAGTTAGGCCGATGCTAATCATGACTTCGATTAAATACTTTAAAACTAAATTAACAAATTGAAGGCTGCCACGTAAACGATGGTATCGGTTGATCCTCAAAATACGAATCCTTTGCCATTATAATTATGCACTTTTGACTTGCTTTGTAGTGAAGGACATTTTTGTGTGCTAATGTTAACGCTTTAGTCAGATTGCTACGTGTCGAATAAATAGCTCGTTATAATGATTTACTGGAGTTCTTTTTTAACAAAAAATGAAATGAATACACCGGATGTGGATGGGCTTGGCAGTATTTGGGAGCGTGGCGGCGGGAAGGGAATCGAATTTCGCGGGAAGCGGTGGCCGGCGCCATGTCGGTGCGGCGGTGGCGCCGCTCTGCAGCCAAAAGCGGCGGCGGTGGCGCCGGAGAGGGGGGGCGCTCTCGAAGGATCGGTGCGTGGGCGGAAAGGGTGAGGGGGAAGGGAGGGAAGGGAAAGGGAAGGAGCAGGAAGAGCCCCGACCTACGGGATGGCAATGGGCTCGCTCCGCATTCGCGCCGCACTATACGCACAGGATTTGGGTCCAATACGTGCTTTTCACACGTATTTTCAGTTCCTCGCAAACTCCATGTTATCCGCGCATATTTTCTTCAGTCCTCGCTTCACTAGTTGCGAGAGGAGAAGGGAGTTCTGTTATTTTCACAAAAGTAATTTTATATCAAACTGATTCTTTCATTTCGCGATGCAAAATAGTTTCTATTACATGGGAGAGGACATTTCTGGTTATCAGATTTTGTCTGCGAGTCTTCATTGCTATTATTTATTCTTAATTCAAGTAATGTTGGCAGAGGAGTAGGGGTAGATATTCTGGGACTCCAGAACGCGTGCGCCTATAATACGCAGAATAACAAAGTATTGTAATGCAGCGAGAGAAACGGCGATTTTTCGACAGAAAACTATTGATACCGGATCCTGGTAACGAAAAAGGGGATAAATTTATATTCCTATTTATAGAAAATTACTTGCTCTAACACGTGGAATTCGCATTTCGTAGATCCTCGATAACGAAACTTGGTTTACGGCAAAACGTCTGTTCCCTCGTCTGTTTGTGATCAACTAGAGGCTAAATTGTGACCAAGGTTTTCGCTAAATTGATATTCCCCTGACCTGACTGATGGCGCGGCACCTTGAATTTGATGCGGATATTTTGAGTTTTGTGGATAATTTGCACGAAATCACAATATTTTCATTTTTTAAGTTGTTGTTGTTTGTTTGTTGTTGTTTTTTCCTCCAATTTTTTTCTTTTATTGTATCCTCAGGCAGATTGAAGAACGCCTAAAGAAATGGCGCGTTTTACACCTTGAAGTTTCGAAAATTGCAAAAGTTCAAACGGTTTACGGTGTTTTCCTAGAACTACAATATCGAAAATTGAAAACTTTTCCTTAATGATATCTTTCCATCAAAACTTTCATTAGGACATTTTACTCCGGCCTACAAGAGATGTGAATCCGGAGTAAAATGCCCTGATGAAGGTTGAATAAAAGTCGAAATGTTGGCACTTTAAATCACGTTTATGATTGTGACTTCAACTCAAGAAATTTCCTCACAAATACAATATATACTTTATGGTAATTTTTCCCTCGCACGTAACAGTTCGTCTTACACGAGTTTCCAGCTTATAGTGAGCATAATGTCAGTCCCAAAGGAAGTCTCTTTCCCACCTCTGAGAGTCGGAAGTCGAAACGACAAATTTTCCGAGTCGATTGACAGGTTCGCCACTCTTCACAAAGGATGCAAAGAAGGCATTCCCGTTTGCTGAAATACTCTTTCAGAAATAACTCAGGTAATAAGTGAAAGGCGAAAAACCTGCTCCCATTTGCTGCGCGTGTTTTTACAAAGCGTAAAGGCAGGCACCCCCACACCCCACGCCCCACTTCCCAGGCCAAGCATCCCCTCGGACGTCTAGTGCAGCCGTCGGCGGAAGCAGGACCTTCCACGGCTCCACACAGAGCAACCCTTTTCCGTAATTGTAGTGGACTGATTCAAAATAATTGCCACAAATTGATCTTATCCAAGGAGTTAGAATATACTAAATACAGTTTATAATGCCAAATATAATGCTAGAATACTTCGTTTCCCAGAGAGCGCTGCTTTGACTGCAAAAAACATGACGTCAATTTGCTTCAAAGATGGAGGCGCTTCAGCCACTCTATGTAGTATATTCTAAGTCGTTGGTCTTAACACATACAAAAAAATTTTCCTATTAGGTTATAAATTCGTATTTTTTTAAAAAAAATTTCAAGCTAATTATTCATGCAATAAAAAAACATTTCAAAAATATTTATGAGGCTTCCGAACTGAAATACTTTCTGGGCTTGCCTTTGAGTTTAGTGTTGCTGAACCGCGAAGAAAACACCTTCTGTGACGCATGCGCTATAATTTTGCTTGCAGTTGCTCCGTTCATAACCATCGCCTGCCTTCGTCTTTCCACGTTGTGCCGCACGCGTTCGGTGTCAGTGACAGTTGCTGTACATAATGAACATGCACATTGCACATGCCGTTAGCCGCTTGGCACCCGCCCTCCGCCTCACCGTCCACTTGACACCAGAAGGGCCCGCGCGCCGTCTTCCACGTTCTTCTTTTTCGATTCCCTGCTGTGCTTCGGCCATGCCATCGTTCTTGATTCCGTCCTTCGTTCTTGATTCTGGAAGCTTCAAACGGTTTCGTGCGTGAGCTGTCTCTGGACCTTCTCGCTATGACGGAGCATACGACCAGTGACGCCCATCGGGAGTGTTGTAAAATAGTTTCACAAAACATGTACCTTTAACTGTCAAGATTCTCTTCATTGTTAATATTGCATTATTTTATTATACTACCTCTAAGCTTATTATTGGTCAGACGGAAGAGCGGGCCTGATGGCCCGAGTCGCGCCACGTAAAATAAGGCATCAATTTATTTCAATTCTATTCAATTCAATTCGGTTCGGTTCGGTTCAGTTCGGTTCGATTCGGTTCGGTTCGGTTCGATTCGATTCGGTTCGATTCAATTCAGTTATTGTCAGTTTTCGCCATAATGCAGCACTTCTACGCACACTACCTGTTTCTATACGATGTCAAATGTGAGATAATTGTACAATGCATGTAAATAACCGATGACTCGAGATCACTGACGAAGTTATGTTAGATCATTCAGTAATGACTCATGAGACTGCTGTGCCCCATGTGAAAGTACACATCACACTTTACTATTAAAATTGTATGTAAATATCGCCGTCAATTTATTCGTTTGTTTTAGTATTAAAAATCATGACATAAATTATTTCGATACCTATACCACAGTAATATATAAAGAGTACATTTTGAAGGTGTAGTTCTTAATTCAGTGACGTGTGATCAAGTGTGGTCAAGTGTCCTTCCGCTCTCGGCGCCTTCCGCTCAGTCTGAGTGACATCATCACAATGACTCACTGTTTAGAACAAGTCAACTCTTTCCTGCGAAGCGAATAGCTGCCAATTTGAAATGTAATGACTCATTTTCATCAAGTCTAGTTGTGGCGTACTCATTCAATTGACGAGTTCGGACTCACGTGTGCGCTTTTATTGACGTTTGAAGATGTTAATTAATTGAGATCACATGTGTGTGGTTGAGGTATGTCCACTGAATGAAAACCAAACTCTCTACCCAGAATCATATAACAACGCCAAAGCGAGGTGCGTGTGAACCACGAGGAAAGAGTATTAGCCGTTCTTGGAAAGACGCAGCGGCTAGCCGCTCATGAGCTAGACGTGGTTCCCATGTCACTTGGTGGAAGTATGTGTCACGCTTTGTGTACCTGGTAAAACCCCGATTCTACTGCCACATGCGTGTAATACGTACAGAGTGAAAACACTCGTCTCTCAATAAAACAATAAATGCCTATTCGCTGCAACAGTATTGTTTTCATTTGTATGTATGTATGTGTGTATGTATGTACTTGTCGCGACAGCCCGTCAACGGGCTCATGCCTACGGCCTAACGGCGACCTCCCTGCCTGGCGACCATCGGTTAAGGGGGTACGTGTGGTTAGCATCCCCAGGCCGTATTCCGGTCTTCTCAACCAGTGAATTTTCTCTTCGTCACACAGCAACATATACTGGGATATTGCAAGGAAAACGCACACTATAGTTTTGGCTCGACCCATTGTTTTCATTTACAGAGTAATATTTCTTCAGGTATGATTTTTTATGTTACTAGTGAAACTGGCCAGTAAAGAGAGGAAAAATTGAATTAACTTACCGTAAACTTCATCTGCAGTATTGGCGACTGTGTCTGAAAAGAAATTATACTTATATAAGTCAAGTGATGAGTACCAACTGAAAGAGAAAAATAGGAAAGCACCGCAATATTCTGAGTTACTACATATATATTTTTGCGAAACCACTCATTGCAAATTGGCAATTTTTCTCCAGAGGAGACGTTGGAAATTCCAAGGAAGGATGGATCAATGAACCGACGAGTGCCACGAACATCATTATCGCTTAAACAGTACAGAATAAATAAATCCTATGATTTTTCTTGTGAAAGTTTTATTTTCAATATCCTTGATTTTCATTCATTAATTTCAAAATTTTGGTGGAAATTATAAAGAAGTCCCCTACGCAAGAAATGGATACCTGTCAAAGACAAATTACTAATTTTTCAGCAGGTAACAAATTAGAGGGGGCGATCCTTCCCTCGTTAATTCGTACCCTGACGTTGCCTCTCTGTGGAATGGCTGAGTCATGCGAATACCATCCTCGACACAACCAGCCGAAAAACACGTACCCATTCATTCAGGAGGAATGTCATTTGGGAGTTCTGGTCTACTCCCGCGAACCATCAAAATACCTTTAAAATGATGAGCAGAACACACTTTTCAGTAACTAAGCACTCATAATATTGTCTTGAATATCCCAAAACTTTTTGAAGAAACCATAAACTTTTACGTGTAAAAGAAAGGCACAAGTTCATGTCGACCAACCGGCCGACAAAGAATTTCACATGAATTTTCTCAAAACTCTTAAAGACATCCTCATTCTCATCAAGTTCCTTACAGATATCAAAACCACACAATTGCCCAATTCTTCCAAGATAATTATTTTACTTGAGGTTTTACCCAACCGACAGTCGGTTACCCTTTACGGCCCGAAGAGACGCGTATTCGACCACACACTAGTCGGTCCCCAGATCTGGAGTTAGTAGAAAGCGAGGCCCTCCGTGACATCACATACGTGAGAGACGAGCTTGGACTGAGCTCACAATGCTTGGACTGAGTAAGGTATTATCTATAAGCCTAAAACAATTGCAATACCAGATTACTTTTTCTTTAATATAACGGATTCTTAAGCAACATATCATTTTCTGTGAAAATTAATAACATCCAATCCCAACGTTTCAATATCAAAGCTGGGGTACCTCAAGGATCTTGTCTTTCCCGTCCTTTTTCAAATTATCACCTATGTGCTTTATATTCCCACGATAACGTCTTATTTACTTCCAATCCCAGTCTTTTAGAAGCCATTTCAAACATACAAAGATCTCTACATAGTTTCTGCAAATGGTCGGAGAACTGGAGAACCCACCAAAAAACCATAACGTTTGCCGTAAAACCATTTATGTCATGCCCTAATTAAAAATATCCAATAATTCCAAATCCTGGGAACCCAAATGCAAGACTATTAAATATCTCTGAGTTCTCTTAGACAACCGACTGGCGAGTAAACCCCACATTCTCTCCCACTTAAACGCCACCCCCCGTAAATTATTCCCTATTATATTTAGGAAGACATATTATATTACATTTTCTTCACTTCTCACAAAAACATCTCTACATTTTCACAAAGCCCTACCTCGCCTCTCTCTTACTCATGTTTCCCCGGCCTGGGGTGGCGCAGAATGTTCATCAATTAAACGTCTCTCAGTTTTCCAGAATAATTTCTTGAGAACAACAGTAAATGTTGTATGTTTCACACAACAAAATTCTCAATTCCCAATTAAATACCTCAATTTCCCAACAAACATTTCCCCACACATTACCAATATCGCAGAAAGGTTCAACTCGAAACTACCCCATTTCCCTGCCCAGAATATTTTCGTGTGAACAAACGTGTGACTCACAACAAAGAAGAATCCATTTCACACTTTCCAAAAATAAATTTCACCCATCTTAAACCGCCAAGACCATGTATCTTACATTCCTACACTAAAAAACAAAAAAAAAGTATTTGAATAACTGGAAAGAGAAAAAAATCTGTATTGCTGAATGGTTGAAGAGGATCCCAGACGGACAGCCTTCCATTATGTACAAATAGAACACAGCAAATTATTCTACGTGTGGATTGTGTACATAATTGTTCTGTAAGGTGGTTAACACACTACATCAGAAATAATGAATTTAAAAAAAAACGAGATTCTTAAGTTTGATTTCCTTTCAGAACATAAGTTTGTTAGTCGTACGTATGGTTGGAGCCAGAAGCATCTTCCAGCAAACGATCCCCACAAACATTGCACATTCCCTTGATTCGATACATTATCGTAGCCTAGGTGTGGAAGTCTTATGAGTGTTTTCACAGCCATACGGCCGGAAACGTATTTGAAATAATAGAACTCATGAAGAGAAAAGGAAGAGAAGAAGAAGAAGAAGAAGAAGAAGAAGGAGAAGGAGAAGGAGAAGAAAAAGAAGGAAGAGGCTGATGTGCAATGCAAAGAGAAGGAGAACAGGAGGTGAGGGCGAAGCGAGTAGGAACAGAGGGAGGAAAGTTGAGAATGTAAATAAGATGAAGAGGGGAACAGGACGAGAGGCAAGTAAGTAGCAAAGATTTAAAGGAGGAGAACGGGAAATGAGATCAAAACGAGAAGGAACTGAGAAAAAGGAAGCACGTAGCAGAGACGTGGAGGAGAATAGGGGATAAGGGGGAAGCGAGGGGGAACAGAGGAAAGACAAGTAGCAGAGAAGGCAAAGGAGGAGAGGAGGGGAGAACCGGCGATGAGAGCGAAACGAGTATTATCTGAAAAGAGGCAAACTGGAAGCAGGGAAGGCAAATGAGGAGGAGAGCAAGAGGAGAAGTGAGAAGGAACAGTGGAGAGGAATGGAGTGTGTCGCGTAATGCGTGGCGTTCGTTGCTCCTGTCGGGCCGCGGGCGGGGGCGGCGAAAGGGGGCGGTGCGCGCTTATTTTAAACGTGACGGAGGCGTAGGCGCTGCTCCCGCTTACGTCACCGCCGCTGCCGCCTGCGGCCGCTAGGGGCGCCTCGTCGTTTTCTGCCATTGCCAGCAGCCGACCGCCCACAACACGCGACATGCACCGCGTTTGTTAACCAAGAAATAATACGAAGTGTTTCATCTGCAAGTTGATTACCTACTACCTCAAATGAGTTGAATTTGAAGCAGCCCTTCTCGCACATCTCTTCCTACAATTACTCTTTTTTTTGAAGAAAAAACTGATGAGTGTAAGATATATTTATATCGTTTCCAATTAGCCTCAACATTTAATTAAATTACAATTTTTATTAGTACAAAAGATAAAATTTTTGCGTTACTGCGTTTTTTTCTCGAATTTTCTACTGGTTTTGAATAAGTTTCTTGTGTTTCAGAAGTATAATTTCTATCGTTTGGTTGTTTAAATAGTTTTTGGTTCTTAAGCATGTGGAACTGTTGTGTATACGGAGAATATCTCTGGAAACATTCTTCTGAGTGATTTTAATTATTAAACGCCTCCTTCTTTTGATTTATAGTTTTCCAACGTTTAATTTCCAAAAAAAAAAAAAAAATCCCACGAATTTCCACCACGTTTCAAATGACACTCAAACATGTCAATATCACAAATTTCTATTTGAATTTTGGGCACAAACTTCGAAGAAATTAAATTTGAGTAAATGTATTCGAACCATAGACGATTCGAAAACACTGATTTCGTTGACAAAAAGTGAAGAAAAAAATCAACACATTTACATTTCTGTTAAACAACGTAGTTTGTTCAATTTTATGTGTTCGTATCAATCATTATTTTCTTAGAAAGGAAATATCTTTCTGACTTTTGTTCTAATAATTCGCTGTTATCATTTCCTCCTGCTTATTCTGATTTCCTAGGGAGAACTATTACGAAACACATTTGGTCTGTTTCATCAAGAGAGAGAACAATCATCTTACACCAGCGCCGCCTGGTGGGGGATTAAAGGTGTTGTACAAGGACGGTGGCTAATAATATCTACTGAAGCTAAACATATCGATGACTTCATTTTTCTCTTATAAGTGAATCTTATAAATCAGGATATTTTTACGAATGGAACTAATACTTTTGAATCTTTAAAAATAATGTTTAAACTTTATTAGCATTTGATAAAACGAACGTAACAAAAAAGGAATAAATTTGAACAAGAAATCAACCACAGTAAATCCTTGTTAGCACGTACTTGCTTAACACGAATTTCGGAAAAACAACAAAATTTGGCTCCCCACGAGAAAAAACAATACGTTTGTGGACTACTATAATAATCGGCCAACAGGCACACTGATTAGCCGGGTCTCTTGGTTTTAAAGATGGCTCCCCTGTGGTATATCAACGAGTGCCCTGTTAGGAAACATGTCCACGCGAGTGTCACTTGAATGTCAAGCAATATCACGCGGTACCTGTGTATTTGGCCAGCGAGTCCGCCCCTGTGCCTGCCTTCGCCAGAGAAGCCCCTCCTGTCCCCCCCTCCTCATGCCGTGCGGCGCCCTTGGCACCAAGCGCGTGGCGCGGTGACCTTGACCCCGTGCGATGACATCGGCAGCTCCGATCAGCTCGCGCCGCTTACACACGAATTTCCCCCAAGGCGGCGACATCTCGCTTTGGGATGCGACTGGACTAATCTCTATTCAACTAATACACAGAGATGAAAAGGAATGTGCATCGCACGTATGTGTGTCGCACGTAAACGCAAAAAATACTCGACGGATTTCCTTAAAATTGTCGCACTTTGTTATTATTAGTAATGGGAGTGTTTGAAGAGTGATTTGAATTAAATCGGACACGTAGGGGAATTAGTGATGATTTATTCGTTTCTGACGATTTAAGTGCCCCTGAACTACACGCAATCCGTCGCACAACCAGGGATTAAGCGCGTCTTCACCGCATACAAGCATTCTGCCCCTGAGATTGTGAAACATCGGTCGGAATTATTATTTGAATCTCGGGCAAGTAAATAAAAATTTCTCCAAGTTTGTGTCATAGCGAACGCCAGTCCAAATTTGAGGGACAGCGTTTTAACAATAGGATACTTCACAACCACTTCGAAACCAGGACACAACCTAGAACAAACTTCGCGAGAAAGTCTTTCATCTTTTAGAATTTTCGCACAGCGAAGCGTAAAAGCGTAAGCGTGATTAACAATTCTTTTACCAATTGTGTGTGATGTGTAACACTGTAATAGTAAAGCATTCCCTGCTCCACTGGTTTGAAATAAAGTACTGAAACCAAATGAGCAACAAATGTAGAAAATGTTCAAAAGAAATTCTGAGATATTCACAAAAATTTCATACGCGAATATAAGATGAAAAAATTACACAAACATGTTTCCGATAGCTCACTCCTGATATTTTAGAATAATTACTCTTATGTTTTTACGATTGAAAAATGCACATGAATAACAGTAAGAAACATAAACATTCCTGAAAATTCACAATCTCGGAATTTTAATGGTTCATGTGTAGGGTTGCCACATTAGAGCAGTCAAAAGAGCAGCCACTGTAAACATGGGTATCGCTTTAAAAATGATATACTCTAAAATCCTACTAAAAGACCACCTATTAAATGACCACCTCTCTCAACCA